AGTATCCACTGCAATCATGGTTGTAGCACCTGAACGCCATTCCATCTTTGTTGCGGGTGTATGGCTTGCATACCATGTCAACAGAGCACGTTGGACATGCAACCACTCGCTTCAACACTCCTCTAACTCTGAGGAACTCCACGAGACCCGCAACAGGCCCATTCATAACAGGTTCCAGCACATTCTGGTAGTAGCTAAACATAAGGGTAAAAACCTACTAAATATAAAGGGTGGATTTTTACCTTAAAATTTCTAAGGTCCCTTTTTTTCCCCACGTGGGGAAAAAAAGGACATGATCCCTCAACAGTTATCTCTTCTGCCATTTCACTAACATCAGTTGTTCCAAAACTATCAGAAACACCAAGGTTAATACTTAGTTGAGAATCACTAGACTCGGTAACAACACTCTCCTTCATACTGCTACTAGTGTGATCATTGCATATATCACTGACTACCTCTCTATAGTCAGTTGATGTCAGGTGTGACTGATCTGTATCATCCCCCTGTAATTCCACTTCCATCTCAGATTGAGTGGGTTCAATCCCAGGGTATGAACTTTTTATTCCTCCTTCATCTGACTCATGCGCAGTAAACTCTGCATTGATGCCGCTAAAGAACTGGATTAATCGTCCTACACGTCCTTTCTCACACAGACTCGGGTCATCCAAGTGCACCTCAACACTGTCACGTTCCAAACTCTCCTCACTCCTGGAATGCTCTACCGTCTTCTTGTTCTGACTCGACGAGCTCGCTGGAATGTAACTGAAACACATGGGGGCATCTTTTTCGTTTATTTATATACTGCTTATCGCATAATATCATGCATAGAGATGTTTTATGATACTATTTACCTGAAAATATTTTAATATTTGATAAGGGTATTAAAAGAGTATTTAGGTGTTTGAAATGGATGTGAGTGTGCTGAATATAATAGCAATGATGTGATATGTAGACACTTGTATACATAAAAGTATATTTGTAAAGCATTGGAAAGATAAGAATGCAACCTGGTAATATGATTTATAAGGTTGTAATGTGCTGGAAACAGCTATACGTACTTAAAATAGTAATATGATAGGCTATCTAGTACTATTTCTCTCTCTATTCTCTATATGAACAAAATTACTATAGACCTTTTCAAAACAAACTATTTTTGCCTGATTTGGTAACTTATGTAAAATTGCGTCAGGATGTAAATAAATAACAGATGTTCGTATAATATAATTCACTTAAATAGTAGCTAGAATCGATTTTTTCAAGTAATCAATTCAAAGATACCCAAATAACCTGAAATCATCATATTGTTTTTGTTACATTTCCGCCCAAAATAGCAGAAGTGGAACAAACTCTTTGTTTTATGATATTCATTGTCTTTGTGTTTAATACCTTCAAATTCAGTTGAATAAGCCTGATAATCATATTTTGTTGCTATTAACATCTTTTTGCAGATAAACACGATGGTGTGCTCATATGTTTGATACAGACAACTATGATGCGCTATTTCTTGCTGTTCTGTTCGTTTTGACATCAATTTGGTTCTCATAAAATCAAATTGAAATAGCAACGATGCTCTCTATTCTGGGCATTTAGTAACATCAAATTTCTAAAGCATTATTTTCAACTCCTCTTATATCACTCTATCATTACCAGGCTTGCAATCCTTAGTGTTTTCGCTATTTCTCAATCTCGTGCTTGTTATTCCCTTCTAGCCGCGGCCAGAACATGAACTGTTGTTACGATTGTATCTTCACATGTTATTTTTCAATAAAATCTCTCTCGATGTAATTATCGTAGCAGCAACATCACCTTGAAACGTGATCTTATTTTTGCGATTTTCAAACCTAAAATTAGGGATTAAAATGCTTCACAGAGTACTTTCCCCACTAGAAATGCTTAAGAAAAAATAGGCTAATTGGCCAAAATGGCTAATTTAGCCACGTTTGGAAACCCTTAATTTTGATTAAACACTTCTTTTAACTTAGGATCAATATGCAGAGCAATAACAATTCTTTATTACCCTATTTATTTATTTCTTTCTCACGTTATTCAAAGGTCCAATGTTTCTTCTGTGGTTTTCCTTTTCTTTACCAATATTAATGTTCCTATTGATAATATCACTATACCCACAACAACCAATATGATAGCAACTAATATTTTGCTCTTCTTTGATGTTTCTTTCTTTTTTGATATTTCTTTCTTTGGTGTTTCTTTCTTTGATGTTTCTTTCTTTGATGTTTTTTTCTTTGGTGTTTTTTTCTTCTTTATTATTTTCTTCTCATACTCTTCCAGATCATGCATTGTTTGTATTTTTTTATCGTTTCTTGTTATTGTTATTATCTCCGACTTCATCGTTTTGCTTCCGAGTGTAAATGTCACATACATATAAGTAGTGACTTCGCTCTTGTTATCAATATTAATGGGCCTAAAATACGGCAGTTGCAGGAAATGTTTTTTCAGGATTTTGCGTTTTTCTTTTGCTATTAACTTGCAATCCTTTCCCATTTTGGTCATTGCCTTCTTTACTTCTTCATACATCAATCGTGTTATTGCATCTCCTTGTTTTTCTATCAATGCCTTTAGTTGCGTTATTGCTGCCTCGAATTCCTCTACAGTACAACTGTCAGTAGTAAAGAACTTCTCAATGTCATCCTTGCTTAACTTCTTTTGACTCGCGCTAGTTGTCAGCAACTTGATAACTCTATCCTTTATCGTGTTTATCAATGTAGCATTTGATGTTAACACATCAACCGTGTTTATAGTATTACTAGTACTATTTATCTCTGTCACCTCAATTTTATCAATACTGTCATTCCATTTAACATCAGGAAATATCACCACTTTATCACGATATTTCTTTGAGGGACTCATTGTATTATCAGTTTTTAACTTATCGTATTCACTCTTGAGTCGCCTGTAATTTGCATCTTTATCACACTTTATACTAAGCAACTGAATCATCCATGACCAAACAGCTAACATCCTATATTACAGGGGTAATTAGGAGAAAATTTTAAATAGTCGTTAGTTGATATATCATATGTCAAGTTCATTTGGTGATTGCATCTCAATACTACTCACCATACTGTCTGTTGAATAGAAGCAAGTGACTATTCGTGACATCACTAAAAGTGTCACCCCTATCAAACATTGACTATAAGAGAAGCAATATTTTGAGAACCATAAAAATGAAACCAGAGTCGTCAATAGACAGTACACGTACTATTATCAAAAAGTAGAAAATGATTGAAGTAACAAGGAAAGAAGTGTAATACAAATGAGCAAACATGACACATTTGAGGATGACAAAATGAGTTGTTAGTGTGGTAGAAAGGACAGAAAAACCTTAGTAACAACAGTTTTATTTAGGTAAAATCTATATATCAAGAGTGACATAGGATATAGGGAGAACTATGAACTATAAGATGCCAAAAGAAACACATATTTAGTAATAATACGAATAATCAGTTGCTCCAACCTAACAAATCAAGTAATAATGTAGTGTGGTTGGTTGCGGGAGTAAACAATACGATATTTTTAGGTTTGTAGCAAATAGGATAACTGTGACATTCTCATAGTTATTTGTATGTGAATGGTGATGTTATTTGCGATGATTTTGTGCATAAACAGGAACATGGCTGTCTCTTTGTTTTCAGGTAAATATGCTTCCTATGAACGTAATGTGTGCAAAGAGTACCAGAACAATAGAAAACACAGAAAGCAGTGTAATTAAATAGCATTGTAAAATATTGGAAAGATAAAAATGCAACCTTGCAATGAGAATTATAAGGTTGTAATGTGTTGGAAACAGTTATACGTACGCAAAATAGTAGTATAGTAGGCTATTTATTTTCTATACGAACAAAATTGTTACGGACCTTTTCAAAACAAACTATTTTTGCCTGATTTGGCAACTTATGTAAAATTACGTCATGATGCAAATAGACAGCAGGTATTTATATACCAAAACTCACTCAAATGCTATTTATCACGCATTTTGTCTCGATATCCACCATACTTACACTAATATGGTCAATTCAATACCTTAGACCTTTTTGTTTACCTATGCTATGACTGCGTGTATATCTATTTATTCAGCAGGATAGCCATATATTTACATCAATCCACTCCTTCTACTAGATTTTCTAACACTATTGACACTAATATTCCTCAAATATAACCCCTTAAAAAGTGCCTGAGACACTTCACCTTAATCGTACGAGAACATGCGTGAATACTACTGTTACTAGCGCAGTTTAATATTCTAATATGTTAAACAATAGGTGAACACGAAATGTGTATACAAGAACATGCTATCAATTGTATGAAAATGTGTGAATGACAGCCAAATCAAATATTGAAGTGTCACAGAATAATGATAAGGAAATTTTTACCAAAGTTATACTGCACCTGGAACATGAAAAGTATACGTTGTACGACAAGAACAGTCTAAATCAGATACGGACTCTTGTCACAACCGTGTTCTGTTCAGGGCGTCTAACAAAACGACTCATGTAGTACCAGAGCATATATAGAAGCACTAATACGGTTAATCAGTAGCACTCACATGAATATCCATTAGTCAATATTCTAAGAATATTGGCATTTTGATTGAGCACGTGGAACAAGAGTAACCTAGGAGAAATAAAAAGAACGTGTATAACATACGGAGGCACAAGAGACAATACTGATCAATGTTTTAATATCAATACGCTGATATAAATAGTTTGAAACGTGAGATGGGCATGTTATTGTACTGGATCACGATGATGGTAAAAACGAAAGAGATTAAACCTAACCCGAAAACAAACAACAACGAGAATGAAGAGATGAGTAAGGAACTCTTCTATTGTTTCTTCACAAGACCGCCCTCTATCGAGGTAAACGACTAATTAACAAAGTGAACAGTATTTCTGAATACAGCAAGGTACGTGATAAAAATTATCAAGCAAGGACCAATACAAATGACAACAAATTAAAAGGACCAAATGGTACATAAGTCAGGAATACACATCACATTATTTATTACTAGCAAACATATACATGTTAATTAAATCACTAGTTTCATATCTCTATACTTGATTAGCAAATGCCTGAAACCATGAAGTTATCAGAATCAGATTTATAGTAAAGAAGGGTCTCTCTGAATAGCAACAACAATCCATACATAATTAATACACCCCTTATTTCCTCAGAGAATATTGATTTCATCTAAACCTAATAATGCTGCTTTATTTCTCTTAACAACTTCTTAGATGTCATTTACATTATACCCGTTAATCTTCACAGCCATCATCAACAAATCATTTACTGCTGTAGTTTGTGACAGGTTGATATGAGTTCCTTAATACACGTAATCCACTCTTCCATTTCTCACCATATTATCGTATCCTATTAAACCTGATTTCCCCAATAATCAAATATCTACTATTCTACTAATATCTGATCACATCCTTATACTGTAATACACCATATCCAATACGTACACTCCTATCATCCTATATATCACCGTAATCTTTTTCATAGCATAAACTAACAAACAAACAAAATATTTAACCCATGAAAATAAACAAGAACTGCATCGCAGACTTCGCTAGAAAGCAGCACGCTGTGGCACTTGCAACCAAATCCAGGCTGTTTGACACCTCGTTCTCTGTGACGAGCGAGCTGATCGTCTACGACCTGAAGACGAAGAAGCAAATTGCAACAAAAAGCGAGCATAAATTCTGTTCTGTAAAGTGGTGCGAATCGACCGACAGCCTCGTTGC